CCACCTGTGTCCACATCATTTATATTTGCAGAATTTGGGGAGAGTGCAGAGTGGACAGGGAGTATCTACAGCTGTCAGAGCTGTCACTCCAAACAGTCAGGTTGATTTGAATTAGGCTTTATTAATTTGTAATAATACCCATTATACAGACTTCTTCAATTCAAGCTGCTTCCCTCAGGTTATCTCGCCTCTGCAGCACACACACACACACACACACAAACACACTAAATTAGAACACAACTTGGTCCACTAATGTTGCCATTACAAAACTCACCCACTGTGCAGTTTAAAGCTGAATGAAAATTGTGTGTTCATATTAACCGGCAGCATGAATTGAATAACTTACTGAATAACCAATGCATTTACTGAAACGGTTTCATGATGCCTTCTAAAATCCATTTCGAAAGACAGCCTCCTCTGTCATGAATAATTTGTCAACAAACTTTTGTTTAAGCGGAGTGATGTCATAAAGAGAGCTGACACCCTGGAGATGACGGCTTCATCACATCTTTTCAGGATGTGCTTTGTTGAAACTGTGAACATAAATTTTTTTTCTTAACCTCTCATTCTCATTTAACCACTCACATTTTTTAACAGGGAAACAGTTAAGCAAGAGAGCCCAAAAAGAAACCCCTTGTTGGAAAACTCAATATGCAAGTATCCAGTGTTATTGAATCCTTCACAACCTCTTTTCCAGCATTTTCTGTCCAGCTTGTAGTGCAGATGGATGCCTAACACTGTAGAGACATAGAGACATGAGTGAAACAAGCTGTTGTTTCTTCTGTTCCTTGTTACTAATTGTCTATTTAGGTCTGAGACTGTCGAGACTGTCACAGGTTCATTATTCCTGTCAAGTCTCTAAACCTCTGTGAAGTTATTTTTGATATGGATGGTCATTTATTGTAAATGTCTTTTAAGCAATTGCTTCAACAGCCTAACAAACTAACCATAAAGTCTTTGTGCAGATGCCACATTAAACAATCCTGCAGACCTTTGGAGGCAATCTGTGATTTTGTTGGCCATTTACAGTCTGATTGATGGAACAAACATGGTGCTCGGTTTGACCCAAGCATCCATCCCTGAAGGGTCTTTTAGACAACACCTCTAAACTGTAATTTCTATCGAGCCGCTTGTGGTTCTGAAATTGGCTGCCATCAGAGGATGCTTTCTCAGATGTGAGAGGGCATCTTTTGCCATTTTCTAAAAGTTAGATTATGTTTCCAATATACTGTAGAGTGAGCAGCACCCCCTACTCTGCCACCTGCTGCAACCTTGTGTGAACCCTGCGGCAGTGTGCCAGTTGCATTCATAATCACTTCAGCGACATGTCTGCGTCAGCAGGCCCTGAGTGCCGGGCCTGCCTGTCAAATCTAAGGGAGAGTAATTACACCGCTGTAGTTCAGTCCTGGTGATTGGCAAGTACCTCCCTGCCAGCAGAAATAGTTTGCCTCCTCATCCAATGTGAATTCCTCTGGTCCCTGCTATGCGAATTAAATATGCCTCCACTGTAGGTGATATTGTTGCAGAGAAACAGTGAGACGGTGAGATGGAGAAAAGAAGAAACACTGTGAAACTAACTTATTCATTTTATTTTGAAGGGAAGACCAGAGGAGCCTTCTCTTTGCCCAAAGGAGCTCGAAATGTGTTTTTAAATGAAACAGAAGACTTTAGAAATGTACTCGGTGAGTCACGGTAGGTTTGTAAGTGGTGGACATCTCTGACAGAAGGTGACTTTGCTGCCCTGTAGTCTGAAAAACCTGTTAGATGCCTCACTGAAACATGGCTGAAGGCTCATTCACATCCTGTCTGCACACAGTCAATATGAACACAAAGGAAGGAAGTTTGTAGTTAATTTGAGAGACTTCCTGTCATGATAATAAGCTGTGTACTATAATAGCAGTACAATATGGATGATTCTAAAAGCCCTTTGATAACACAACACATGGATATGAATGAATGGCCTGTTTCAATGAAAGTTTTACCTGCAGGCTTCCACAGCGAGGAGGAAAGCTGACATAGACATTTAGCATAACCTTTTTTTTTCAAACATCTTTGTAGAGCAAAGTGAAAAAAACTTCTGAAACACGCGTGATGTCCACCACTGCAAACACACAGAATATCTGCTTAACTTACCTTTCTCTGTCTTATCTTTCCTAACCCCCCCTCTTCTGCTTCTGCTGCTGCTGCTGCTGCTGCTACAAACTTGGCAAAGGTTACCTTAAGATGTTTCTCATTCCCCCTGGAGCTAGACATGTGATCATCCAAGAACATGAGGCCTCCCCTCAAATTCTTGGTAAGTCTGACTTCCTGACACAAACACATGTATGAAATCAGAGGATGCCTAAAAATAGCCCAGCACCATCTTCCTCAAGTTTCCCTGGAAGACTAATGGGATTGGAACATGTATATTGTAAATCATAGATTATAGACCTTGCATAATAAATGTCACCTCCCAGGCTGAGAAAATTAGTCTTAAATTTGCTCTTTCATTATTCATCAATCTATTAAAGGGAGGTTACTTGATTAGTGGGTTCCTCCTCTATTGCAAAACTGGTACTGGCATTTTTTTCAACCACTTGAAGTGAAGTGTCATAGTTAACCATATTCAGAAGGAATCAGCATTATTCAAGACCAGGATAATAGGAACATCAAACAGGTCAGTATGAAATACCTTTATATTCATATTAAGTCCTAACCTCTGCAGGATCGTGTGTAGAACATTTTAAACGGTGGCACAGGGTCCAACAACAGCTGTCTGTGAGAATGGCCAAAATTTACTTCTAGTGGCTGTAGGAGTTATGAGTGGAGGAACAAGTGTATTAAAAAGCCACAAAGTCCTCAAAAGGGGGAGGTCGGGCTGGATAGATGTGTCAGCAAATCATGACTCTTGATGGACCGTTACAAACTACAAGGCGAGGGTCACGTAACTGACGGAGATGAAAACATCAGAAGTATAGTTTTTTGCAGCCTTGCTAATTGTCAACTTGTAGTGTAAAAGACGGAAAGCAGATAACACAAACGTCCTTTGAAAATGAGTAAAACTTCAGTGAAGCCTTTTTGTATACAGTCTATGAGTAATACGTGTTAATCAACTTGCAGAGTTTCTTCATTCGTTCATCGATAATTCTATATTTATATAAATAAATATATAATTATATTTACTGACCAATCATAAAAATGGTGTTAAATTAAATTTAGAAATGTTTGAAGAAAATTTATTTGTGTGGTGCGATTGTTTGGATGGTATTACTGCAAACACTGAGAAATATTTTAGCCAAAAATTGTGTTCACACCATCCTTCATCCTTTGTGTTCACACCATCCTTCATCCTTTGTGTTCACCAGATTTGTGAACCATATTTGAAAGAAATAGGCCTTTTGTGTACATAGTTCAGCTCATGATGAATGGGGGCAAAAACAAAAGTGTTGTGTTTATAATTTTGTTCAGTGTATTTAAAGTCATGCTTTGGGAGAAGATCTTTTTTCCCCTTTATGAGTAATCAAGTCAATTTTATTTAGATAGCCCAGAATCGCATACAACATAAAATATTTGCCTCAGGGGACTTGAACGGTTGAGAAATTGATTAGGGAAACTGAAATCCTCTTGAAGGAAAGAATCCCTCATGTAAGTAAAAATAGTAACAATCACTTTCTATTTTGCATGCATGCGAGTGATAATAAGGAAGTATGTCTACCCCGAGCCATAAACATTGTGTTTTTATAGGATAGTGGCATTCACCTTCCGTTTATCATGTAAATCCGATTTAGGTTCAGTGTGACTCGTTTCAAAGCCTTATTACAAGGTGTTGACCCCTGCTGATTAGGATAAAAGTGATGCCACAAGAGGCTGTGAATAATTGGTTTCTTCCCCCTGACTGGGTATCTTGATAAGCTTTGACATGCAGGAAGAAGTTTTCTAGCTCAATCCCCAATCATCCTCAATCATAGACATTCAAGCAGGTAATTCTAGGGTGGATGGCATGGACTGGCTAGACGCTGATTTGTATTTCATGATGAGAAGGATGATTAAAAAGGAAAGAAAAAGGGTAGAGGTTTGTTCATATTATTTAAGTCATTTTAGTGATGCTTGTACTCCTACTTACTACTAACTTTTTTCTGAATTTTCTGAACAAACTAGTTTTATTAGTTCTTCCATTTCATCCAAGAAAATTACAATAATAGTAATAACCTCACCCTTAAATTGACTTTCTAGTGTTAATGAAGGCTTTCAATAATTACTTATTGAAAAAGTTTGACCTTCCACAAACAAGCTCATCAACTTTGAACAGCTGAGTCATCGCAAGAGATCAATGCCCATTAAGTTTAGATCTTTCATAAAGCTAAACTGCAGTAGCCCAATAATGTAGCAGTAGACATCTGTAGTTTTTAGCAAATGTCACTCATACCAGAGTAAATAATGCACATGTGACTGTTTTCAGATGCCAAATAATAGACGTTTGGTGCTTTCATGCTTATTCATAAATATAGAATATCACCAGCCTTATCCTTTAAATAATATTGACTTGGTTGAAATTAACACCTGATATATCACTGGCAGCATTTCATTTTATAGAATCATTCCAATCATCCTTGCCCGTGTATGTCAAAATGTCCAAACCACTAACACCATGGTTTCTGGTAATAAGCCTTGATAAAATGATGTGTATCTTGTAAAGAGAGAAATTTATAGAATTGGCTACAAGGGAGACATTAGGATTGTTACTCAAGATAAAGCCATACTGAGTTGCAATCCCACATCAAGGGCTGTACTATATGTGCAGAATCTGAACCGTATAATGACAATGTTGACTGTGAGTTCGAAAGGGGACACAAACAGAGGTCAACAAACACTTCGGCATCTTTCTTAAATGGACTTTGTCGCTCTATAACAACGTAACCTGACTTCCTCTGCTTCCCTCATAATTACTACGGTCACTAGAAGGTTTTCTCACGTGAATGTAAACACGTGTCATTTTGGTGCACATGCTGAAATGACTCCTGCTGTGGTTCTTCTTGGGAGGACAGTCTCTCTCTTAATGTCTCTATTAGCAGCATTCCTAAAGAATATAATCATAATAAATAACCATAATAGTACACACACCTTCCTTGAGCCAGCTCTGATGGCGCATTCTGATGCATTATAAAACTGAAAGGCCCGGTCAGCGTGAATGTTAGTGGCTACTGTGAAGGAATCTTGGAAAGAGAACTGGACGTTGCCAAATGAAATAGCCTTCATACTCGCAAAGCAGCATTCCCCGAGAAATTTCAGTAAGATGGGATAGCCTTTATTCTGACTAAACCCAGCAGGTGTGGAATAAATAAAAGAAACGCTCCTTTGCAGGAAGCATGATAAATATACAATGTAACACCAATTAAAAAGGTTTTATTAACCTTTCATCCAAAGTGTACATCTGGCTTTTGATGAAGCATGTTCCTTGGAGACCGTGTTGTGCTTGAAAAGAAGCTGTCAATTTTAACATCAGAATTACTCCTCTGCTGTAGTTTCATAAACAGCATCCATCCTTCCTGTCACTGTCATTATCTGTTAAATGACAAGTGCTGATGGATACCTGTGAAGATCTTCCTCACTTACTTTTCAAGGTTTCCTGCTGTTAGTTTTGCATTTCTGTCAATGTGTCAATATTTCATATGTACTGCGGCACCACTGACCCAGTAAATAATCAGAGTTTATGCATCATGACTTCAAAACTAGTACTGCATTTGAAAGTAAAAGCTTAAGTTAGAGCGCAGGTTTTTAAGGAAAACAGCAGATTTGAGACTTTAATTCATTAGATGAATCCTTTTTTCTGGTGCTCCAGGCTAACACAAATAAAGATGGTCCTAATTATTTTTTAATGGTAAATGCATTTTTATTTTGAATCCTGTTCCATTACAATTCTGTACGTTTGTATTATACTTTTACAAATGCTGACTTTGAGCATTAAAGTAACGTTTGTGGATAAGATCAAGAATTCAGTACATTCTTGGGCAATGGGGGTGATTAAGGTATTTTCCATAAACGTTTCTTTAGTTTACAACAGTTTGTTAGTATTGTTGGTATTGGTGAACCAAACAAAATAATACAGTGTAAGAAGATGATGAAGATGCAACAGTCATTTAATAAACAAAATCATTTTAAAATAAAATACTTATTGCACCACCAGATGTTTCTGTCAGCATGGTAACAACATTTCTCTAATTCATGAAATGGAGTTTAGCACAAAAGGGAAACAAATTTAACAGTTGATCAGTAAATAAGTAAAATTTGACAAGTTCTTAATAATAAGAAAATGTGTTTTAGTTTATTTTGTGGTGTATAAATGTTTAAAGGGGGATTTTTTTAGCTACATCAGTTTGAGTATTGTTTACTTTTGAATTAATCTGCAGGATGTCAAATAAAAACATGACTGACCATTTAGTCTTTAAAGAGGTGGTATTATGCTCATTTTCAGGTTCAAAATCTTATTTAGGGGTTGTACCAGAACAGGTTTACATAGTTTACTTTTCAAAAAACACCATGTTTTTGTCATACTGCAGCTACAACTGCTACGGCTCCTCTTTTCACCCTGTGTGTAAAACGCTTCGCTTTAGCTATGGAGTGATGAATCTCACCTCTACATGATCTTTGTTGAGAGTTGCACATGCGCAGTTCCTAGTTACGGACTACTAGCCAATCAGAAGCAGAGTATGGATCATGAGAAGCGGGTAAACACGGCTTCGGTTCACCTGTACATGTTCCCCTTACCAGCTTAGCAAAAGACTGGAGCAAGAGTTTCAGAGTGGTGAGTTATTAATCTGTAACAAAAGTATCTTTCATCCATAAAGTTTTAACTGAGCTCTGTCTCTACATCACAGTAACAACTTTCTGTCCATTGACTGCCTGGAGGGTAGCTAGTGTTTGGAAGGGAGAGGAGAGGTATGTGCTGGAACTCAGTGTTTTCCCACCAAGGTTTTTTAGGGGGCGCGTTGGACTAGCTGCTAGGCGAGCATTATGACACGTGTTTCTCTGTGACGCCACAGCAAAGTGGAAGTAAAGGCTGGACTACCAACAAGCTGTTTTTGGACAGTTCAGAGCAGAGTTTTCTGTGGGAGATGGGAACTCCCTTTGGGGTGGACTTTGGGCTTTTTCACTTTGCACAAAAAAGGTATGTAACTCAATAAAGGAGAGGGAAAAAGCCAAAACGCATAATACCACCTCTTTAAAAGACCATCATGGCTCCTTGCTATCACTCAGCATATTGTAGACTTGAGCACCAGAGGAAATGATCTGTAGCAGAGTCGTGTGGGAGGTTTTTAACTCATTTTGCCCCATGAGATGCATTTATATGAATCCGATGTATTTAAAGCAGCTGACAAACATGCCCATTTTCCTTTCAGCCTCTCACTTCTGACAATTTTATCATTTTAGAAGTTTGGCAGCTTTTTTTGTATAACTACAGAATGAATGAGACATCGTGATGTATAGGCATAATCATTCTAAACGAAAAAGATTCCATGAGTCACCCTTTTGAGGGCTCAATTTGAGCTTTGTTTCAAATTCAGAACTTTTGTAAATGATAGAGTAAAGCCATTTCAACTGTGTCAGCGGCTCATAACACATGACTGATTACAGCAATCAAGAACCAGGCAACGGGGCATTACATTCTCAATGGAAAAGGAGAGGAGGTCAAGTCCAGAAGCTTCATTGACTTGGGCGTGGAGTGGCACTACATTATGGAGGACGATGTGGAGACGCTGCACACTGACGGACCTCTGCATGACCCCGTGGTGGTTCTGGTAATAATACATTCTTCTCTATCAAAACTTATATTGTAATTATTCTAAAAAGGCCATTGAACACTATAAAATAAGCATGTCAGCCATCCAGTTTAATCCCCCTACCCCCTTTTCTGATTCAGTTTCTATCACTATCTGTTATATTTTAATTAATGAAACTCATTCATTATCATATTAAATAGCAATTATGAACTTTAAACAGTCACAGATAGTTAAGAAGCTATAATGAATGACTTAAAGCAGTGAAATAAAACATAAGAGGATGCCAAAGGATGAGAATGCGTTTTAAGGAGGAATTCAAAAGAGGACAATGAATTTGCGTGTTTGAGATCCAAAGCCGGGTAAATGACAGAGCAAGATTTGGGCTCTACTAAAGACTGAATCACAAAATCACATAAGTAGGAGTCTGAGCATGCAAAGTTCTCTTGGAGCCTGTACTCTGGCAGTGGCTCTGAAATCGGAAGGTGTTTCTCCTGCTGAGACCTGATTGAGTTACTGTGAGCTGCATTAATTAATCAAACCTGGTAGAGATCGAAGCATGGCTGACCTTCAAAGACTTGATCTCAGGCATGTGTCTTAGTTGAATAGACATGACTGTACTTAATTTACTTGATTGCAGGCTTTTAGACTCACATTTATCGATAGGCTGCCCAGACTAGACATAAGATAGCAATTAATGGGGAAGGTCCTGGAATTGGGAGGAGAAATTTTAAAGATCTCTCACTTGAAATGATTCAATACAAGGAAACTTTTGGATATATGGCACTTAACACCAAGACAGGTGACTTATTCATGCAGGAAGCATCTATAACAAAAGGACTTCTAAAGACATGTATATAGCTGTGTCATCCATATTGTAGGAATAGGCACCTGACAAGGAGGCTTTGATAAGTATGAACAAGTGTTAAGGGGTGCAACTAATGATTTGTTATGATAACATTCTATCTTGTTTGTTTAATCTGCACACAAACAAATGTAAAGAAGACAATTTGTGATTTTAGAAGGAGTTATGTAGTGTAACTGTTTCTCTAACTGTTTATTTGTCTGCTTAACTACAGAAGCATATTGCTGCAATGCCAGAAAAAGAAAAACAGATCAGTATCACATTGAAATGTGGAAAGTTTAATGTTATAACTGTTGTTAAAACAAGATATTTTAATTTTATTACAAAAGAAAAAAATCACAATATAACAAGAAACTGTTCTTGTCTTTTTATAATGTGAAATTATAGTAAAAAGTTATGAGTTTCTGTAAGCTGGGCACCTTACTGGAAGTAACTTATTATAACAATAAGTCATCACTGTTACATTTAGCTCCAGTGTTGACACAGGAAAACAAGGGATTTGGACCCATGTACAGACACCAGGCAGAGCAGATGCAGTTTTATAACTCCAAACTCCAAAAACACAGCAAAACATGAGGAACAGGGCTGAAGGTTAGAGACAGACACTTAAATATTCAAGAGGGCTGGAGATAACGAGACACAGGTGAAACACATCACAGCGGGTGCAAACAATCAAGACCGAAAGGAAGCAAAGTAAGACAAGAATCTAAAGGTGGACAACACGTGGAATATTAGCTTCATAATCAAGATAGCAAAAAAGGTATAGGCTATAGAGTACCAGTCACTAAACTACATTGAGAATGCTTGCACATCCAGCTTGATCATTGACTTTTAAGGCGAGGGTGTCAGCATCTGTGCTGTGACTGAAGTAAAATTAATTAATGGTATTGCTGAATGCTGGAAATACATAACGTGAAGCTACACGCTGCAACATTATCCTCACTTTGATCATTTTACAAGACATGTACAGGTGCTGGTCATATAATTAGAATATCATCAAAAAGTTGATTTATATCAGTAATTCCATTCAAAAAGTGAAACTTGGATATTATATTCATTCATTAATCACAGACTGATATATTTCAAATGTTTATTTCATTTAATTGTGATGATTAAAACTGACAACTAATGAAAATCCCATATTTAGTATCTCTGAAAATTTTGAATATTACTTAAGACCAATACACAAAAAAAGGATTTTTAGAAATGTTGGCCAACTGAAAAGTATGAACATGAAAAGTATGAGCATGTACAGCACTCAATACTTAGTTGGGGCTCCTTTTGCCTGAATTACTGCAGCAATGCGGCGTGGCATGGAGTCAATCAGTCTGAGGCACTGCTCAGGTGTTATGAGAGCCCAGGTTACTCTGATAGTGGCCTTCAGCTCTTCTGCATTGTTGGGTCTGGCGTATCGCATCTTCCTCTTCACAATACCCCATAGATTTTCTATAGGGTTAAGGTTAAGGCGAGTTTGCTGGCCAATTAAGAACAAGGATACCATGGTCCTTAAACCAGGTACTGGAAGCTTTGGCGCTGTATGCAGGTGCCAAGTCCTGTTGGAAAATGAAATCTGCATCTCCATAAAGTTGGTCAGCAGCAGGAAGCATGAAGTGCTCTAAAACTTCCTGGTAGACCTCAGAAAACACAGTGGACCAACACCAGCAGATGACATGGCACCCCAAACCATCACTGACTGTGGAAACTTTACACTGGACTTCAAGCAACGTGGATTCTGTGCCTCTCTCCAGACTCTGGGACCTTGATTTCCAAAGGAAATGCAAAATTTACTTTCATCAGAGAACAATAACTTTGGACCACTCAGCAGCAGTCCAGTCCTTTTTGTCTTTAGCCCAGGCGAGACGCTTCTGACGCTGTGTCTTGTTCAAGAGTGGCTTGACACAAGGAATGCGACAGCTGAAACCCATGTCTTGCATACGTCTGTGCGTGGTGGTTCTTGAAGCACTGACTCCAGCTGCAGTCCACTCTTTGTGAATCTCCCCCACATTTTTGAATGGGTTTTGTTTCACAATCCTTTCCAGGGTGCGATTATCCCTATTGCTTGTACACTTTTTTCTACCACATCTTTTCCTTCCCTTCGCCTCTCTATTAATGTGCTTGGGCACACAGCTCTGTGAACAGCCAGCCTCTTTAGCAATGACCTTTTGTGTCTTGCCCACCTTGTGCGAGGTGTCAATGGTTGTCAGCAGTCTTCCCCATGATTGTGTAGCCTACAGAACTAGACTGAGAGACCATTTAAAGGCCTTTGCAGGTGTTTTGAGTTAATTAGCTGATTAAAGTGTGGCACCAGGTGTCTTCAATATTGAACCTTTTCACAATATTCTAATTTTCTGAGATACTGATTTTGGGGTTTTCATTAGTTGTCAGTTATAATCATCAAAATTAAAAGGAATGAACACTGAAATATATCAGTCTGTGTGGAATGAATGTATACATTATACAAGTTTCACTTTTTGAATGGAATTACTGAAATAAATCAACTTTTTGATGATATTCTAATTATATGACCAGCACCTGTATGGCATAAGAGAGAAAAAGTTTATAAGCCAATGGTAGATTACATAGTGATCAACATCCTTGTTCCATCATGGTCTGTGATTTCTGTTTTATAGTGTAGAACATTCTAATATAACTTCTAATATATATAGCATATTTCAACAATCCGAAATATAAAATGGTGTTGAAAAAATGGTGTTTATTACAGCAAAGCCACAATAAAACAAACCAAAGGAAAGAAGGTCGCCAGTCCATCGCAGAGCACCACATTGCATTTACATACCTAAATGACAAAACGCACTTTAACAGATAGATGAGGCCAGGAAGGTTACATATTCACTGTCTGAAAAGGCTCTTCTGTGCTTCAGTCATACAGGAATGGGGAAGACTAGTGAAATGGAGCTAATTCCCAGAAGGATAAAGGACTATTAAACCAGTTATAAAAAGCAATTCCCTTCTCTTTTCCTAGAAGATCTAACCATCCACTTTAGAAAGCTCCCCCAGGTCCAGAAAGAGTACAATAGACATAAAAAAAAAACTGTAAAATTACAATAAAAAAATTAAATTACCCAGTGGCTCATATTATGCATCATTTGCCAACATGGTGTAGAATACAAACTAATCTGTTGAAATACAGTCATATGCAAAAGTTTAGGCACCCCTGACAATTTCCATGATTTTAATTTATAAATAATTGGGTGTTTGGATCAGCAATTTCATTTTGAGCTATCAAACAACTGAAAGACAGTAATATTTCAGTAGTGAAAAGAGGTTTATTGGATGAACAGAAAATATGCAATATGCATCAAAACAAAAGTAGACAGATGCATAAATTTGGGCACCCTTGTCATTTTGTTGATTTGAATACCTGTAACTACATGATTAATTGGAACATACAATTGGTTTGGTGAGCTCATTAAGCCTTGAACTTCATAGACAGGTGCATCCAATCATGAGAAAAGGTATTTAAGGTGGCCAATTGCAAGTTGTTGTTCTCTTTGACTCTCCTCTGAAGAGTGGCAACATGGGGGCCTCAAAACAACTCTCAAATGACCTGAAAACAAAGATTGTTCAACATTATGGTTTAGGGAAGGCTACAAAAAGCTATAGCAGAGATTTAAGCTGTCAGTGTCCACTGTGAGGAACATAGTGAGGAAATGGGAAAACCAGAGGCACAGTTCTTGTTAAGGCCAGAAGTGGCAGGCCAAGGCAAAGGAATGTGAGAACGGTCAAAAACAGCCCACAGACAACCTCCACAGACCTACAACATAATCTTGCTGCAGATGGTGTCACTGTGTATTGTTCAATAATTCAGCGCACTTTGCACAAAGAGAAGCTGTACGGGAGAGTGATGCGGAAAAAAGCGTTTTTTTCACACACACCACAAACAGAGTCGCTTGAGGTATGCAAACGCACATTTGGACAAGCCAGCATCACTTTGGAAGAAGGTCCTGTGGACTGATGAAACAAAGATGGAGTTATTTGGTCAGAACAAGGGGCGGCAAAAGAAGACAGCATTCCAAGATAAACACTTGCTACGCACAGTAGAATTTGGTGGAGGTTCCATCATGCTGTGGGGCTGTGTAGCCACTGCTGGTACTGGGAGTCTTGTTAAAGTTGAGGGTCGCATGGATTCCACTCAATATCAGCAGATACTTGAGAATAATGTAGAGGAGTAAGTCACAAAGTTAAAATTAGGCCGGGGCTGGATATTTCAACAAGACAACAACCCAAAACGCTGCTAAAAATCTACTCTGGCATTTATGCAGAGGAACAAGTACAATGTTCTGGAATGCCCATCCCAGTCCCCAGACCTGAATATCATTGAAAATCTGTGGGGTGATTTGAAGCAGGCTGTCCATGCTCGGCAACTATCAAACTTAACTGAACTAGAGATGTTTTGCAAGGAAGAATGGTCCAAAATACCTTCATCCAGAATCCAGACACTCATTACAGTTTATAGGAAGCGTCTAGAGGCCGTTATTTCTGCTAAAGGAGGCTCAACTAAATATTGATGTGATATTTGTGTTTGGGGGCCCAAATTTATTCAGCTGTATAATTTCGTTTTGATGCATATTGCACATTTTCTGTTCATCCAATAAACCTCATTTACTGAAATTCACTGAAATATTACTGTGTCTTTCAGTTATTTGATAGCTCAAAATTAAATTGATGATCCAAACACCCAATTATTTATAAATTAAAATCATGGAAATTGTCAGGGGTGCCTAAATGTTTGCATACGACTGTAACTGTGCTTTTTTTCCCCAGTTAGGCTAGGACATAATTCAATGATACAGTTGTAGATGATAAGAAGACCTTTAATAGGATTATTCATTTATTACTTTATTTCTGTTGACTGGTCACTTATGTTTGTTTATCAGGACTTCAGTACTTGAGACACTGTGTCATTATTTTAGTTCAATGTCTTCAATACATTTTCTTTTTATTTAGGGTTTGTTTTGCAAACATGCTTTTGCTCACAGTCTCACACACATAATCTCATCTTTGTTTTTCTTCATTACCCATTATTGTTTTCCCCCCCAGGTACACCAGCTATAATTTGTTATGTGTTACAGTATGATTTTCTAAACTGTCATCCATCAGCGATTTGAAGTCTCTATATTATGACAGGGTAATAATTATAGACATTTTGCTTTAAACATACTGAGGAGAACAGCAGATCTGACAGAAGTTAATTAACAGTTTTCCCATCAACAGTACTTATCTGAAAAGCAATGGTTTGAGAGGAGGAGCAGGACAGTACTTTCAGAAAACACTTTGGGGGATAAAAAGCTTTTAATGTAGTTTTGTGCTACTTTCGTGAATCATTAAGATCATTGTTCACACTCAATTTGGCAGGAACTGAAGGTTATAAGATAATTGTAATGGTACAAAGCAGATCTGTTTCAGAATGTAATGTTCCAAAATGTTATATTTGAGGCATGTTTCCATAATTATGTCCTCACGGCTTTTAATTCATAAATTATTCAACTCAACATTGGTATTTAGTGAGTCGTCTCAACTGTTGAATTTAATGTAATATTGTACTCAACCGGTTAATTTATGCTTTCATTTCACTGATGAATTAATAATGGTCACCATAAAATAATGTCATGAAAACACATCTCGTGTTATGGGAAAATATCATTGTAAATACTTTCTCCCATATATTTTACATGAAATTCTTCTACAAACTCTATATAATAGGACAAAATAAATCAATATATCAGTAACATACAATATATTACAGTCCAACTGAAGGTGAATTTTAGATTTTGTAATTGATTAGCATTCTTCCTAAAGCCTCTTTCTTTTCTATTTTAGAAACATGAACACACATCTTCTCCTGCATCTCGGTTTTCTGAATGACCTACCAAACAAATATTTGTCTAGGAACAGCGCACTCATTACATCAGTTTACAGGCTAGTTAGCAAATTAGCTAGTGAACTGTAGCATACAAAATTGTTTAAAAACATGCTGGCAAATGCCATTTTGGTCTGTTCAGCCCAATTTTCCATCTCAGCACTCTATCATAATCTATAATATTGATTTCATACTCAGACCTTAGGGGAAAAGTCAGCACATTATTTTTTACCAGTTATCCAGCAGCCTTTTATAAATAAATACAACAACAAAAACGTACATCCATCCATCGTCAACAGCTTATCCTGCGTACAGGTCGTGGGGCAAAAACATACACAACATTGGAAATTACTTTGACATTCTTGACTGCAAACAGGGATCATTAAATGTGATATCAGCTCAGGTTATTTTCATTACTGACTGCTCTCTTCATGGCTATAGCTCACAGATTATACTAATAATTATTGATTAAATGTATTATTTAATTACGTAAAAATATGTGTGTTAATCCCTCAAAACTAACTCCCACACCAGCACCTGGGTTTTTTTTTTAAAGCTGCTGCTTTTGGAATTGAACTCTCCAATCCACTCTGCTACAAAGTAAACAATGGATAATGCACAACTTTGCGCTTTCACACACATTTTAATTCAAATATGCTGTAATGTGTTCTTTTTTTTTTTCTTCCTGTGGTTTGCAGATTATACCCAAGGACAATGAAACACGCTCTACTTTAATGTACAAGTACATCATCCATGAAGATTCAGTGCCTGTCAACAACAACAATGTCATCCAGGAGGACACGTTTGAGTGGGCTCTGAAGAGCTGGTCTCCGTGTTCCAAGCCTTGCGCAGGAGGTAACGCATAAATTATCATCAAATTAGAAAAGAATATATTGGAATAATTTCTTACTACTTTTAAAATATGATTATCTTAATATTTCTTTTTCACTACTCCTGTTGTACGTAGGCAGCCTTCAATTTCACAGTAATAGATTGTTGTTTTTAACAGGATGAAAGTGTCATCGATCCCATCCCATTTTAGTTCATGCTACAAACATATAGGGAGCAGGGTTTCACCTCCTCCTCTCCCTCAGCAAGGCACACTCCCTTAGCACTTCTCTGCTCTTTTCTAGTCACATAACATTAGAGCTTATCTATATATAAATGGATTAGCTGGCGTCTCTTCTTCTGCAATAATGAAGTTAGAAGGACCATGGTCTTGTGTGATCTGCAGGGAGGAGCTCCTCTCTGTCACTCTGTTAAGACACAACTGACACATGTGGAATAAGTTTAAAAACAACACACAATATTAAACAGCAGAGATATTATTTTTAATAATTAAAGTGGATGTGCAGATTTTTGATATTTCATCATCGTGGGGGGGGGGAAATCTGGGTAATTGAAACTCCAGGAGAACAGCGGGGAGATGGACAGAGAAATCAAAATGATTGTCAAGAATACGCATATTATTATTATTATTATTATTACTATTATATTTCATCATTTATCAGAATCAGATCATATAGAATTTTCACCATATCATTTATAGTAGATTATCAGTGTGTTTTTTGCTCGTGGCTATAGGCTTCCTACACCCACTTGTCTGAACAGCAACATGAGCACCAATGAGAACAATGACTATTTCATACACAGTCTGCCCAGACAAAAACAGTCAAAAAAAGTAGACATAGCAGAGGAACAAGAGGTAGGGAACGACAGGGAGAGGGAGAGCAGCTCGTACTGCAGTATTGATTGACAGACCCTCGAGGCAGCTCTACTCCTTCGTCCTCTCATGTTGGACTGAGGGCAGACTGGACGCTTATATGACTTATGATCGCATCTCGAGGCACAAGCGGTATTACAACCCAGGACAGGTCGGGGCTAACTGGTTAGCATGCTAACTTCAGTAGATATCACTGCAACACAGCACATAATTGTCTTTGACATGACGTCAACTTTTACTTCTTCACAAGCTATTGGTAATGTCTTGAATGTTTTAAACTAAAATTCTGGCCAAATTTTACAAAATGTACCTTCACTGTACCTTTTTTATGGATTACACGAAGAGGTAATAATAAAAATCTTTCACTTCTTTCACAGGGTTTCAGTATACCAAGTATGGATGCCGAAAGAAAGGAGACACCAAGATGGTCCATCGAGGTTACTGCGACGCCAACAAGAAGCCAAAACCCATCCGCAGAATGTGCAACCTTCAGGACTGCACACAGCCTCAGTGAGTACAACAAGTGGCTTCTCTCAGCATGAGTTGAGTTGTAATTTTAATCAGCTTAATCAACAATAGTGTCTGTGGTAGAGTGGGAGTGGAGTAAAAATAAGCACCTAACACCCAACAACCTGTTCTGTTTTTTGTCAAGCTGTGAACTATAAATAACTTTCACCTCTGATGTGACGTTTTTCAGCACATAAATCATAAGTCGTAATTGTGTCGCAGAAACAGAATTATTCCGAGTCCTGGATTTCTTTGCGCTACACAAATCTATCAGTATAGGTGACTCCTAAAGAGAGTGGGGCAGTATCATTTCATTATATTGCATTGGGCATTGGTTTTCTATAAAATCAATTGAGAAAATGTGTGTCTTGGCAAAACTCATATAAAGATCCAAAATGACCCATTGTTCAACAGAAGCAATGGCCCAATTACCAGGGGCCACGAAAAAGGTCTGTTGCTCTGTCTACGTCGTACGTCAGTGGCCTCGCTGCCTACAGGCCTTTTCAGACGGGAAGCTATTGACACACCTAGTAATTCATTTTTCAGTGAGAGATGAGCGGGTTGGAAGGGAGGCGCGAGCAATCTAACAGGCGGAGCGACAAGCTGGTGCGGTCCCGTGAAACTTTTGCTGTCCTGCTCATCTCACGCACATGCCTGCCTGCTGCCAGAGTTTAATTGTGTTGAACTATTTTCTACGCACAGCACATCACAGGACAAGAGAGTGATCCTTGCTGTTTGTGAGTTTCCTGAATTATTTAACTTTTTCCTTGAAGTGATAGGGTATACCCACAATGACTTTCGCTGCTTTCTCTTGATCATTAAAAACTAATCTATATCTAATAATATATAGATCTAATAATTTTACACAGCTGGAGCACCAATCTTCGACATAGATCTACAATATTTTAGTGTACTCAGCTGAACTAAACTCACACTTGTAAACTTACTAACTCGACTAATTTAAAAGTTAGTAGTTATAATATTTTGTTAAACTCTTTCAATGATTTCTGGGAGATATTTTAAAGAACAGTTGTACCTACAGGCATACAGCAGTGCACAGAAGCTGTTGCCATGGTTACTACCCATATAGTGCCTGGCATTTACTTGCTGAGTGCTTGTCTGCTTGTCTGTTCACATGAGGAGCGCAGTGATGGTCCAAGTAAGTACACAGGCGGAGTGTCACTCCAACGTCTGAAAAGGCCTTTACAAGGCATGTCAATCAAGTAAAAAAATGAACCACTTTCTTCTTGTTTGAATGAATCATTATAATGTACTGCTAAAAAAATGAAGGCAACAGTTCAAAGTTCAAAATCCTTACTGTACATTAATTACTTGAGAACAAAATGACGTGATGATGTTACGTTGGACACTGTGACAATAAATGAGTCCTGCTAACTGACTTCAAATTCATATTGTCTCAAGAGTTATATCATCATATTGCCCATCCTGATGCCTAAAAAGATTTTTCTTGCATTTTAAAATGTTCTACTACAAACTACTAGTGCACAATTTGATGGAAATTTGCACACACTGGGATGATAACTTTAAAGGGCCATAACTTAGTCTATCTCATTCATTCAGTACAATTAATCCTTGCACAAAGACTTAATATTCCCCTAATGGCTACTAGTAGCCTTTTGTATTTTTAACTCAGCCTTGCAGGGGTACTGGTAGGGATGTATGAATGGGTGAATGTGACGTAGCGCTTGGAGCAGCTGCAAAGGCTCTATACAAACACAGGCCATTTACCATTTATGAGAGAGATTCAAAATACAAGGATTAGTATTAAAGCAGCAGAGGCTGAAATATCCTGACTTTCTCACCGTCTTCACACATACATACTCAAAGTAGCAGGCACTCTAGTGTTATTCTCTTCTGTTGCCACCATGCTGGCGCACAACTAAGTAGTTCATTTCATGAGTGACGTTTTTCCACTCATCATTGTCAAGTACCAGTAGCTCATAAAAATTATATACTGAATAGGGAAGCCGTTGACAGCAGGTTTATTTCCATAGTTGTTTGAGAAGGCGCAGATCACTCGCTTTTCCAGAGAAAATCAAAATCAGATTGGATGTCTCAGAGTTGTTGCTCCTGTGTGCCACAGGAAATTTACGTAAAGTTGGACCTTTCTCAACTTCTCCAGTCTTTCATCATGCCGGAGAACCCAGAGTGTTATTTGGAGGTTACATTAGCAATGAATGGCAGCCTGTCACTCCTCTAGAGTTTGAGTCCCTATGTTCGTCCATGATATGAGTGACGCTTCAAATACTTCTTACATCTTACAGTTCCCATAATGCAATTCAATAGCATTATTCATTAGACCTTTCTTGTCCGTTAAATGACCTCATCTTTTAAATCACACGCCCACCCTCCAGTTTGTAACACAGGGTTTCTGTTCAAGATGTTGAATGTCAAGTTGAAACATCATCTGATGTGTGAACTGGGGAAACGGTCTTCAGGTCATGGCGCAATGCGTGTTCTCTCCCCTGCCTGTCAGTTCTTTCCTGGGGTTTCTCAGTCAAAAGGGCAGTACTTGCCATATGTGTCTCTAATGACAAAAGGATTAGTGGCTTGGAGACAATGTATGGAGGTGGAAAAATCTGATCTGGCCTTTTGTGTGTCTCTTTCTTCTCATCATTTAAACTTGCATCCCTTATCTCTTGTTTTACCATTAACCCTGCCACTGATTTTGCTTCTCTCAAGTGAGCTACTTTTTCCCATTTTTCAAAAGCTTGCCAATCAATCTTTTTCTTTCCTACTTTCTTTGCTTTCTCTGTCAACATAATTCTACATCTCCCTAAACACTCAGTCTGCCTAGGATAGGAAAAATGCCTTCAGTTACATCATGCCAAAGTGGAACATCAACAACCACACTTTTCCCCCATTTCTCTGCCATTAATTTAGCTGGACCTGAAAGAGTGTCATGCAAAGAATTAAGTTTTGTCCCCGATTTGTTCCCCATGTTTTTCTACTGACTCAGACTCACTGAACAGATCTGCTTTTACTTGCAATGGGTTTTATCATTCAAACATTCAGTCTGATCTTCCCATATTGTAATATGGTCAGATCTTATCAAACACACACTAACTCTGGAGAAACTCTCTCAGCCGTATGACACTTGCATGATTGTGCACTCGTTTTCGTTTACAATTGTGTATGCTAGACACTGAAATGAGTTTCACATGAGTTTTATATATTTATCATCTCATAAAACACCCAGATATTTTCCCTTCTTAGTGGAACATAATGTTTGAAACAAACACTTATCACATCACAAAAACTTTGGGTTACTTAACGTAATCCCCGGTTCTTTGATAACAGAGTGAGGTGTTTTACCACTACTTTCCTCCTTGCATAGGCACGAAAAGAAACCGGTCTAGAATGATATCGAAGGTTTGCAGTGTAGCCAAGCCAGCAGCCACGCAAATGTCCTGCACTGCAACTCCCCTGAACAGGGCCCACGAAGTAGTCACACCCCTTGTGGAATGAGCCATCAAGCCCTGGGGGCTGTAAACCCTCACACCTGTAGGCCAGAGATATGGTCTCCACAATACAATGGGACAACCGCTGGCGGGACACTGGCTTGCCTTTGTGGGGGAGAGTCCAAGACACAAACAGCTGACAGCATGGCCAGAGATACACCTTAACTGTAGAAAAGGCCCTCCCCTTGTCCACCAGGTCTTGTAGGAAGCACAACACACTCGAGGCGCACCACTCCTCAAAAATCCGCCACTTCCACTATACTGATTCCACTATACTTCCACAAATGAATAGGCCTACTATTGTGTTAAACAAATCAAAATATTACCTCTGAGTATTATAGGCTTAAAGCCTTTCTGAATAAACAAACACCCGTTTGACTTTCCCTGAAGTGCGCAAAAAAACACACAATTTAAGATCATTTGCAGCACACAAAAGGATCCAGATTTAGGATAATAAACACAAACGGAGATATCTGCCTCAAATATGTTGTACAGTGTAATCAGGAATCATATTAATACTTGCATACAGTGCAATATATATGAATTGATGCTGTTTTCAATGCGTCAGTCGAACAAATACGAGAGCATAGTTTTATGTAGCCTATTGTTATCACATGTTTGTTGCCAAAACGCTATGCACCAGCGTGTGGATGTGATGCGCTACTTGTAAAAACACATTATGGAAATATAACACTTATGTCATTTACAACAAGTCATATTTATTTTAACTCATCGGCAGCCTTGTTTAGTGAGTGGACTTTTGTAGCTTTTCTGTCAGATTTTACCTCCTTTTCTTTCATGCAGTATGTATTAATATTAATGAGGGGCGTTTTACTGACCATGTATAGGCAACTATGCGTGTTTGAAGGGTCGGACATTGAGCTCCCTCACATGCGCCACATTTCATGTTGATTGTGATTTATAAAGGAAACTTGCTTACAATTGTGTGTACGCAAGTCTAAATCATGCCTGTATGTATGTTGACTCAGCAGGGATGATATTAAATGAGAAATATTTTGTATTTTGAATTGTCACGTGCCGCCTGAATTTTGTGTTTCCCTTTATATAAATAAAGACATTTCCACCATAAATTGGTGCAGAAAATTTCATCGGAATGCAGAAAAAATTAAGTCTTAATGCTCAAAATTTTCTAGAGGCGGACCCCCCACCTAATATGTTTTCCCTCCAATAAATGCACTAGAATGCAACAAAAGAGTCTCTGAACTGAAACGCATTACCTGGGAGGACATTCCTAGATACCTGGTTAGGTTTGGTCTCACAAGTTTGGCTATGATGTTGGCAAGTATGCTGATCAACCATTCTTATTCATCATTGACCATGATTATTGACTTCACATCTATATATGCTTTAAAATTCAGAACTTTTTAAATTGAGGATTGATGACTCCAACCCCTGCAGTGGGTATTGTCACAGAAGGCTACTCATAAAATGCAAACCTCAGTGATACGAAATCATTCCAAACTAAATTGAAAAGTTGGCCCTGTTTAAATTAATTCTGGT